ATACACTTTGAGGGTCAAAGCTATGTGAATGGAAACCTGAGGTATACTCATTAGATTGTGATAGTATATTCAACTATTTGTCTTTCAACACATTATGTGGCCTAGGTTGAATACAGTTTTCAGCATTCAAGAATTACTGATAGTCTTCAGACCTACTTATAGCGGAACTAACACCAATAACTTCTTACTGCAAGCTTACTTTTTCCATTTAAAGGTTTCCTATGCATCATCATCTTTAACATCGCAACACGTAACATAATTCTACTGAGTCAGGTTCACTAAAATCACTCTTCCAGGAAATGTGATAAGGGCCTATTTTCCCCACTTTGGGTGACATTCACTAGAAATGTAAGGTCTACTGATATGACTGTGTGTCCGTTATCGCGTTATGCGATTTCGGGTGAATAGAGTTCTTATTTAAGCCCTTCTGACAGGGTCGAAAGCTACCCAAACGAACACTGCTGTCTGTTTTCTGGTCTGTCCCAGCAATCGATAGTCCATGAACTGCGCGAACTGGAGCGTACGCTGACGCATCAGATCGAGTCGGCCGAGGCCAGTCGCTCTTCTGGCCGAATTCCTTACGCCAGCGGGCCACTCGCTCGCCTAGGCAGCCATTTGGGCCCAAAGGCTCGAGGAGCCGCTGGTTCGCCCTCAAGCGCCGGCACCGGTGCCGACGTCTTCGCTCGTGTCAACAGTCTTGGCGGTGGCAGCGGAGGCGCCTCCCTCTCGTCGACGCCCTCCCTCCCGAACGGAGCTTCGGCGACGCCGCCGGCTCCGCTCAGTCCGTCCGGTCAAGCCGGAGTCGGCTCGCCTCTGTCGACCGGTCTCGAGCTAGCCGGCAGGCCCGGCCCGGCCAGACCGGGCCGCGTCTACTTGAGAGGCGCCGCGACTCGAATCGACAGCCTCGCTGGCGGCTCGGCAAAGGCGACTGCCGGGACGACCGCTGTTAGCGGCGGCGCCGGGGCACCGCTAGGCAGTCAGGCGGCCTCCGAGGCCAAGGATCAGCCGCGTCTCGACGCCGACCGGTACGACGCGTCGAGAGCCACCCGGAAGCCGGGCCAAATGGAGATCATTTGTCGCTCCTGCATTGCAGGGCCTTTCGAAAAGGAGTCCGAACTGCAGGACCACATTGACCAGTTCCACTCGAGCCAGTTGGAGTCGCGTTGGGCCCAACTACGACAGAAAGGCGATCTGGGCGAAATGATCGACCCTCTGCGGACCTGTTTTCAGTGCTACCGAATCATGGACAATCAAGTGGCTTTTCAGGTAGGCCGGCGGGTTCGGTTCTTTAAATTAACTCTAAGCCAGGAAGGCTATATATATATATATATATATGGATATGGATAGATAGATATAAAGCTATAGGATGACTGTCAACTGCTTTTATGTTAATCTCAGTACTTTTATATTCGCATATGTACGTGTGTAAGAAAAAATACGAAGCCACCAGTCACAACTCCGAGTAATAGACTATAGATATGAGGATATGAAGACCAAGATGTTGTAGCCTCTGGTATGGTCGCAGTCTCCTTTCGATTTATAGAAGTGGGTTGACCTCGTTGTCGCAA